CAGGAATAGTACTGAAGACTTGTGTCCAGAACTTGCCACTCCCCTAGCCAAGCTGTTCCAGTACAGTTACAGGATAGGTATCTACCCAACAATGTAGAAAATTGCCCAAGTATGTCCTGTACACAAAAAGCAGGACAAATCCAACCCGGCCAATTACCGCCCCATCAGTCTACTCTCGATCATCGGTAAAGTGATGGAAGTTGTCATCAACAGTGCTATCAAGCAGCACCTGCTCAGAAATAACCTGCTCAGTGACGCCCAGTTTGGGTTCCACCAGGGCCACTCAGCTCCTGATCTCATTACAGCGTTGATTCAAGCATGGACCAAAGAGCTGAATTCCAGACATAAGGTGAGAGTGACATTCCTGATATCAAAGCTGCATTCGACTGAGTGTGGCATCAAGGAGCCCTAGCAAAACTGAAATCAATGGGTATCAGGGGTCAAACTCTCCGGTGGTTGGAGTCATACCTGAAATATAGGAAGATGGTCGTGGTTGTTGGCTGTCAATCATCTCAGCTCCAGGACATCTCTGCAGGAATTCCTTAGGGTAGTGTCCTTGACCCAACCATCTTCAGCTGCTTCATCAATGACCTTCCCTCCATCATAAGGTCAGAAGTGGGGATGTTCGCCCATGATTGCACAACGTTCAGCACCATTCATGACTCCTCAGATACTGAAGCAGTCCATGTTCACATGCAACAAGATCTGGACAATATCCAGGCTTGGGCTGACAGGTGGCAAGTGACATTTGCACCACACAAATGCCAGACTATGGCCATTACCAATAAGAGTCAATCTAACCACCATCCCTTGACATTCAATGCTGTTACCATTACTGAATCCCCCACTTCAACATCCTGGGGTTACCATTGACCAGAAACTCAACTAGATCACCACATTAACACAGTGGCTACAAGAGCAGGCCAGAAGCTAGGAATACTGCAGCAAGTAACTCACCTCCTGACTCTTCAAAGCCTGTCCACCATCTACAAGGCACAAGTCAGGAGCATGATGGAATACTCCCCACTTGCCTGGATGAGTGCAGCCCCAACAACACTCAAGAAGCTTCCACTCATCCAGGACAGAGCAACCCGCTTGACTGGCACTACATCCACAAGCATTCACTCCCTCCACCACCGACGCTCAATAGCAGCAGTGTGTATGATCTACAAGATGCACTGCAGAAATTCACCAAAGATCCGCAGAAAGCACCTTCCAAACCCATGACCACTTCCATCTAGAAGGCCAAAGGCATCAGATATATGGAAACACCACCACCTCCAAGTTCCCCTCCAAGTCACTTACCATCCTGACTTGGAAATATATCGCCATTCCTTCATTGTCACTGGATTAAAATCCTGGAATTCCCTCTCTAATAGCATTGTGGGTCAACCCACAGCAGGAGGACTGCAGTGGTTCAAGAAGGCAGCTCACCACCACCTTCTCAAGGGCAAGTAGGGAAGGGCAAGAAATACTGGCCAGCCAGCGATGCCCACATCCCACAAATGAATAGAAAAAAAAAATCAGAATTAATACCTTTTTGGACACAGAGAGACCAGATTACAGTAGAGGACGATATATTGTTATGGGGAGCAAGAGTGATTGTCCCGAGCAAAGATCGCCACCTGATGCTGTCTGAACTCCACCAAGTCATCCAGTGGTTTCCAACATGAAGATGTTGTTGAGAAGGTATATCTGGTAGCCAGGATTGGATGCAGACATAGCTTCGTTGGTAGAGCAGTGACCAAAGTGCCAACAAGGACAGAAATTACTGCTGGCAGCTCCCCCCATATTCATAAGAATGGCCAGGTAAACCCTGGACTCGGTTACATATCGACTGTGCGGGTCCTTTCACGGGTTGAATGTTCTTAGTTATTTTGGACGCCCACTCAACATGGTTGGCCCTGCACAGAGTTCATTCATCAAACATGGGGATAACAATAGAAAATCTGTGCGCATCTTTTGCAATACACAGGCTCCCAGAAGTATTGGTCGTGGACAACAGGCCATCATCCACCAGCAGGGAATTTGAGTATTTCCTCTAGTCAAATGGTAATCATCGTATAAGAACAGCTCCATATCATCCATCATCCAGTGGTCTGGCAGAAAGAGTCCAAACTTTGAAGGTAGCATTAAAGAAACAACATCACTAGATACCATACTGTTCCTGGTTCCTATTTGAATATAGGACCACCCCTCATGCAACTACAGGGATAGCTCTAGCACAGTTGCTAATCGGGAGAAGACTCTGCACCAGGTTAAATCTGATCTTCCTGGACCTGAGGGGAAAGGGTGAAACGGCATCAGGAATGCCAAAGCGGACATAAGATTCTGCTAAGTGAGAGAGACAGTTTACTCCAGGGACAAGGTTTGGTGCAGGAACCATGGGAATGACCCTGTATGGGTAAGAGGCATGGTCGTCACGAGATCAGGTCCTGTGACATATAAAGTTCAGGTAAGTGAGACGATCCTGAGCAAGCACATTGACCATACGAAAGCTGCAGACTCGCAAATGGTGTGGTAGCAAAACATGCTCAGCTCCTCAACAGCCTTTCCAACTGTTCCAGAACCCACGGGTTCTTCCTCTCTGTCAAATGTTGAAGATACTGTGGGATCATGTTTCAAATAACGACTGAAATCAGTGAGTGGCGAAAATAGCCTCTTTATTGAACATCCGCAATAGCACAGTTTGGAGTGGCAATGGAATCCAAAGAACAGTTCTTTCAGCAACCTCTTTATACAGTTCTTACATATGTTAAAATTCTATCACAATTCTGTTGCACAGTTTTGTCTATTGTACGCAGAGGTTTGTGAGACATCTGACCTGGGGAAGCAGGAGATTTTTTTTCTGAAGAAGGGTGCCAACCCAAAACATCAACTTTCTTATTCCTCTGATACTGCCTGGCCTGCTGTGTTCATCCAACTCCACACAGTGTTATCTCTGACTCCCGCATCAGCAGTTCTTACTATCTCTGAGATTGTTTAAACATTTGCTAAGTGCTGGCTGCCATTTGGATGAGAGTGTCTGTCCGGTCTGCTGCATAATTAAGAGGTGTTGGTCCTTTTATCTTTTAAGTTAGTAAATGTTGGTAAAAATACTAGACCTATATGATCTAAATAAGTTAGAAAATTATACATGCACTAAATAAAAGTATTAAGGATATTAAACTGACCACCACAGCTGGGTCGTGACATTTTGTTTACTATTTGCCGGTCTGAGTTTCATTCATTCATGCAATTTCACAGAAATGCTGTTTTGATAGTAATTTTCTTAAAGGGGACAAAGGCTGTTTTCAATATGTATTTTAACTGGTACATGCCAGTAGAGGAAACTTGTTTGATGTTCTGCAACTATTCAAGTCCTGAGAGACGGTTGCTAAGGGGCTGATTAATATTATAATCTTTTCATAGTTCTGCGTGGGCCATGGAGACACTATGGCAGTGAGGATATTGTTTCTGAATAGATTAGTAGTTTTTGATATTTATTCAGAGGTAGCTTTTGATGTAACTAGATCTGATAAGGGTTGAAGGCATGAAGAAATAGTAATTGTTTTGGAAGGACTGTTTTAATTTCGTCTATCTTGCAATAGTAAAATGCACTACAAAAATCGCGGTTTAACGAATAAATAAAAATACATTTTGTAAACAACGAGTTAGTAAAGGGTTATGAATGAATGGGAATGTGGTATTAGTGAAAATAGTGAGCTGGTGAGTGAGTTAGTAAAGAGACCTATTGTACAATATTTCACAACACCTTTGAATCTGAGATGGACACAGCGAATTTTGCCACTTGGACACCCTGTTCTGCCTGAAGAGGAGAATGAATTTCTTCTGAGACACTTCAGGCACACGAGGTGAGCTACTGTGCATTACACACTGCCCAAATCAGAGGCAGAGTTCAAGGAACTGACCCTGTGCTAAAACGCACCCCGGTAGGGCTACAAAAAAAAGGTCTAGTCCTCAGACTTAGAGCGGCAGGGATGTAGTGATTGTAACAAGGTCAGCTGGGTGTACATCATAGAATATGAGTTCCCTGATTGGGACTGTTAATCTGGTCCAATCGTGGATGTCTGGCTGAAGATATAAACAAGAGTGTCAAAGGTTCTGCTCACTCTGAGAGCTGGCGCTGAGGAAGCTGGATCAGTGTCAAGGATCTCCAGGGTAACTAAAAGGTGACTTGGTGACAGGCTACCAGCCTGTCTGGAGTTATTTCACTGTCCATATCCTGTTTTACTCTATATGTTTGTCTGTGTGTAAGGGTACATTTGTACATTTATTAGTGGATCAGATTTTGTTAGTAGTGTATGTCAGTGGTTTATGACTGTTTATTTGCACCTAGAGCTTACTAGCACCTAGAAGTACACAAATCTGGCCAATAGCTTTCTTTCAGTTTGGGTCTGCAGGTCAGGTAAATTGAGAAACTTTACATACTTTATGAAATCTTTAACTTTTGTGAAGACTGTGAAAATTGCAGGGCTCAATTTCTAGCGTGCTACTCCCGTAAGACATAGCAAATTGAACACGCTATCTCAGTCCAATTGGCTAGGTTTGATAGCTTGGCTTCCTTTGCCAGTTAACAGGATATAACATTGCCCTCCTCTCCACCATCCAATCCACCAGCATCTTTGGGTCACATCTGAACCAAGTGCTCTATAATGATAATGGACCCATGCAAAGTGAAAGCCATTTCCTGGTTTGCAGTGTCTGAAGTGATATACAACTGGGCTTTAAATATTGCACTCGCAGCATGACTACAGAATTTCCCAGCAGTGGAAAGCAATTCTGACTCTTCTGCTGTGTAGTTCCACAAGATAGGTGGAGTGGTGAAGAGCGGTTGATTGTATCACAAAGGTTGCAGTGAACTGTGGTAGATGTTATGTCACGAATCTGACTCGGAAGAAGATTTTTCGTAAAAATAGGAAATTCACCCCAATGTGGCAAATTATATTGCTAAGAGTCCAGCCATTTTTTTTTTAAATACCAGTTTCTTATTTTTTTAGGGAGAACCTGGAGAGGTTGGTCGCCCAGGATTGGATGGAATAGCAGGGATGCCTGTAAGTATCTTTAAAATATACAAATTAGAAATTCAAATTATAAGTGCAATATACCGCTTCTTTCCTCAGATGCCATCAGCATGATATTGACCTCCAGTTGTTGTACAATTTGGCAAGCATTAAATCATCAATCTATTTTATATACCATATAATTTTGAGCTGCCAGTTCATTATTGACCATTTTGATATTACCACTAAAAACCAATTACAAACTTCACCGCTAGCCAACCATATAAGCCTCGGTTGCAAATAATTACTTTGAAATACATTGACTTTTGCTGTGTAGGTGAATAGGTTAGCTATTTTGTGTTCATAAAAATGGATAGTAATCTAATCTACTTTCTGGAGGTACTGGCTATAAAAGCTATGGACCAGAATATTCAGTGATCTATAATTTTTCTTCCAAATATTGCTAATGGATTTTAGTACCTACTTTTAAAATTTTAGATCAGGCAGATTGCATTAATTAATGCTTTAAAAGTTAGACACAGTGAGATTTGAACTTTAATGTTTGGTTTCATGACTTAAAATAGCAAAATATTGTAGAAAATGGCATCAATTGAAAAAAATCAATCCACAAAACATTGGTTAAAAACTTGGAAAACAGTAGAATCTCGTAGTAGGAATGGAATCTGATTTTTTATTAATTAGAAAACAGTGACTTTCTTCTGGTATTTACTGGAAAAAATGTACTGTCATTGAAAACCTATTGCGACAGAATAGAAGAACACAAGAATAAAGAATAGGAATAGGCCATTTTGCCTTTCATGCCTTTACTGCTATTTAAAAAAATCATGGGTCAGCTGATTGTGGCCTTGACTTCACTTTTCTATCTTTCCATCATCTTCCCGACTCCCTTGCCATTCAATAATTTATATGCAACGACATATTGTTCTTTGGGGAAAATTGAGCCTCTGAGAAAGAAAATAAAATCAGTTTTAAATGAAAGACACCAAACTTTTAACCTGTGTTCACTAGTTCTATACTCCCTCACAAGGGAAAATATCCTTGCATCATTCATCCTGTCAAATCTATTCAGAATCTTATATATTTAAATAAGATCACCTCTTAATCTTCTACATGCCAATGGCCATAGACCTAATCTGGTCAACATTTCTCTGTAACATCTTCATTCTAGCCAACAGTTGTACATTCCTAATGCGACTATTTGTTCCTCAAAAAACGGAGACGAAAACTGTTGATGGTATTCCAGATAAGATCTCACTAAAGACTTGTATAGCTGTAACAACACTTACCTGCTCAGTTCCCTTTGCTGTAGATACCAACATCCCAATTGCCTTACGAATCACCTGATGTACCTACCTACATACTGACCTTTTGTGATTTATGTATGAGGACATCCAGACCCCTCTGTACAAGAAATATCTATTGTCTGTTTCGATTCAAATAATATGCTAAATCTATTCTTCCCACCAAGCTCACATTTTCCCACCTTATTTCCCCAACTGCCAAATTTTTCTCAGTTGTAGATGTATTATGTCATCATGACAACTTACTTTCCTACCTGTCATCAGCAAATTTAGAACTCTTTAAGTCATCGACAAAGATAATAAAGGTCCCAGAGCTAAATCCTGTGGCATTCCACCAGGTCAACTTGCCAATCTGAAAATAACCCATTTATCCCAAATCTGTTTCCTGTTAGTTACCTGAGTTCTTACTTTGTGCAGTAACCTTTTGTATGAAACTTTGTTGATTGCATTTTGAAAATCCAAGGAAAATACACTACAGGTTTCCTTTTATCTATATTGGTTGTTAACTTTTCAAAAGACTCTAATGAACTAATGAAACGTGATCAACCAATCAATGAAAATTTCATAATGAGATAAACTGAGGACTTCAGATAGTTTGATTAAATTTGTCACATTTGTGATGACTCTAGGAAGAGTGGGATTGATTTCCCGTGAATTACCACAGTGAGTCATGACATGGGGAATTAGATATGGAAAATAAGGAAAATAATAGGTCAATTAAAAGATATTTTGCATCTGTGTGCACTGTGGAGGATGCAAGACAAATCCCAAAATTAGTTGTAAATCAGGAAATGGAAGGGAGGTAGGAACTCAAGAAAATTACTGTCACTGGTGACCTGCATTCAGGAAATTGTTGAAGCTGCAGGCTGACAGGTTCCTAGGTCCGGATGAACTTCACCCTAGAGTCCTAAAATAGATGGTTAGTGAGATAGTTATTGCACCGGTTTATTTTTCCAAAATTCTCTAGATTTGGCGAACATTTCATGAGAATGGAAAATAGTGAATGTAATTTCTTTATTCAACAAGGAAGGGAAAGAGAAACTACAGGCCAGTTAGCTTAACAGCTGTCATAGGGAAGAAGTTAGAATTCATTATTAAAGATGTTATTAGTAGGACAGTTAGTAAACTTCAAAATAATCAATTAAAGTTCACATAGTTTTGTGACAGGGAAATCATGTCTCATAATTTCATTGGAGTTCTTTGAGGAGGTAACATCTGATGGTTTTGTGCATAGGAGATCATTGTCTCATGAACCTGATTTGAGTTTTTTGAGGAAGTGACCAAGAAGATTGATGAGGGCAGAGCATTATACGTTGTTTGCTTGGACTTTAGTAAAACCTTTGACAAGGTTCCGCATCGTAGACTAATTAGTAATGTTAGATCAAATGGGATTCAGGGTGAGCTTGCCAATTGGATACAAAATTGGCTTAATGGCAGGAAATGGTGGTGGAGGGTTGCCTTTCAGACTGGAGGCCTGTTACCAGCGGTGTTCCACAGGAATCAGTGCTGGGTCCACCTTTGTTTGTCATTTATATAAATGATTTAGATGACAATAAAGAAGGCATGGTAAGTAAGTTTGCGGATGACACCAAAATTGGTGGTATAGTGGATAGTGAAGAAGGTTATCTAAGATTAGAAAGAGATCTTAATCAGTTGGGTCAATGGGCTGAGGAGTGGCAGATGGAGTTTAATTTGGATAAATGCGAGATATTACATTTTGGTAAAACAAACAAGGGCATCACTTATACAATTAAAAGTTGGGCCTTGGGTAATGTTGTAGAATAGAGAGACCGAGGGGTTCAGGTACATAATTCTTTGAAGTTTGCATCTCATGTTATTGCGGTGGTTAAGAAGATGTTTAGCACACTTGCATTCATTGCTCAGACGTTTGAGTAGAGGAGTTGAGACGTCATGTTGAGGATATTGGTGAGGCCTCTTCTGGAGTACTGTTTGCAGTTCTGTTCTCCCTGTTCTCCCTGTTCTGGAAGGACAGGATTAAGCTGGAGAGGATTCAGAAAAGGTTTACCAGATGTTGCCAGGAATGGAGGGTTTGACTTGTAAGGGGAGGCTGGATAGGCTGGGACTTTTTTCACTGGAGTGTAGGAGGTTGAGGGATCACCTTATAGAGGTTTATAAAGTCATGAGAGATACGGATAAGGTTAATGACAACTGTCTTTTCGTTAGGGTGGGGGACTTCAAGACTAGGGGGCATATTTTTAAGGTGAAAGGAGAAAGCAACCAACATAATCAAAGACCCCTCCCACTGGTTATACTCTCTTTCACCCTCTTCCGTCGAGCAGAACATATAAATGTTCGAATACACTACGATCTATCATGACCGCTAACAATTTCATCCACAGTAGTCCAAACGTTCACCTAGTCAAGAATAAACCTGTATAGGGTTGTGTGATAGTCTTTACAATTTTATATCAACAATTCTGTAGAATCTTCCACTGATCATGGAATCTTATAAAATGATAAACTGAGTTGGGGAATAAATCAGCAATGCATTTCCATAGGAAAAGTTGAAAATGTTTTAGATAACAAGGTGTGGAGCTGGATGGCTTCGCAGTGGGGTTAAAACTCAGTCAGAGATAGTAGGAACTGCCGATGCTGGAGTCTGTGATAACAAGGTGCGGCAGTTCCTACTATCTCCAGCATCGGCAGTTCCTACTATCTCTCTTGAAAATGTTTTAGTTCCTTAAAAGGAGTTGAGAAGTAAAACCAAAATATGTTTGCTTTTCTTGGTGACAATTGCTATGGGACTGAAATTTCTTACAAAGCTGAAGAATAAATGGGGAACTCCAACTCAGGAAATTCTATATTACTAAAAATGTATTACTGATGGTAATTACAAAATATATTTTAAGAACTCTAGCGACCTGAAAATAGTCTTTGGGTCATTGAGGGTCTCGATATGCTGTACAGAATCAGAGTTCATTGCAAATTTTAATTTTGAGACTGCCTAGTTGAACATCTGTAAAATAACTGAATACAACAAAAGCTGGCGATCACAGCGGGTCAGACAACATCTGTGGAGAGAGAGCAAGTTAACGTTTTGAGTCGAGATGACTCTTCATCAGAGCTGAAGTGAAGTGTAGATGTGACAGCATTTATGCTACAGTTTGGGTGGGGGGTTGTGGGGGTAGTGGGGCTAGAGTGCTGGTGGAGAACACATGTTAATAGTTCAGATTAAGTGACCAGAATGTGAGAATGGCAGAACAATGGTGTGTCTCCTGCCAGTCTGGAAACAACAAACAGTCCCATTGGGATGGGGAGAGGGGAGAGAGGACTTGATAACAGAATGTAACAAGCTAAAAGAAAGGGAAGAAATGGTTCACAATTTGAAGGTGTTGAACTCAATATTAAGTCCAGAAGGCTGTAAACATAATTTGGATGTGTTGAACTCCAGCATCTGCAGTAATTTGCTCCTACATCTGTGAAATAACTTTTTCTTTGCTCATTTTTTATTCATATACAAACATGAAATGTTTCATAATTAGATTTCAGCTTGTTCGGCAACTTTGGCCACAATGCCATCATTCTTAGCCAGTCATAGGATACTGTCAACTGATTCACCCATTCGATAGATAGCTTCACAGATTGCATAGATTTCATGCTCACCATTAAACCTTCTTGTTACTTAGTGGGGTCCTCCTGTGGCACAGTGGTAGTGTCCACCAAGAGGCCCAGTTTCAAGTCCCAACCACTCCAGAGGTGTGTAATAAC